CTCGCTGCCTGCTCCCAAGATCAAGTCGAAGCGCCAGTCGGATGCATTGATCGCACAGTCGACGCCAAGCGCAAGGCCAGTATCCGCTGTCTCCGAGAATAAATCGAAGAAAAATGAGGTAGAAGTGGCTGAGGCTGTTGTGTCCGTCGTGGAGGCAGACAGAGAGCAAGAAACCGAAGAAACCGAGACACTGGACAACATGTCGGGCCAAGAGGCAGAGGTGGCCGCCCCGAAGACGTTCAAGGACCTGGTATGTCTCCTCGCACCCTTCCCCTGAAGATCGGGTCTAACATGGTACTAGGGTATTGTCGACTCACTTTGCGAGGCCTGCAACCGCCTTGGATACAAAAAACCCACGCCCATCCAACAAGAGTCAATCCCACTCGCCCTCCAAGAACGTGATATCATCGGCATCGCCGAGACCGGCTCGGGCAAGACAGTTGCCTTTGCGCTCCCTATTCTGCAAGCTCTTCTCGAAAAGCCAGCTCCGCTATTCGCCCTCGTGCTTGCCCCTACGAGAGAGCTTGCTGTCCAGATCTCGCAGGCCTTTGAGGCGCTCGGGTCTCAGATCTCGCTCCGATGTGCCTTGATCGTGGGAGGCATGGATACCATGCAACAGGCCATTGCCCTGGGGAAGAAGCCACATGTGATTGTGGGAACCCCTGGAAGGTACTCAAGGCCTCTGTTTATTATGTTACGGGTCCGTGGCTAACATTCTACTAGACTTTTGGACCACTTGGAGACAACAAAGGGTTTCAGTCTGTAAGTGACATTGGTGGCACTCCGCTCCTTATTCTCGGGCTTGGATCTAACCTTGATATAGACGGAATCTTCGGTACTTGGTCATGGACGAGGCAGATCGGTAAGTCGTCGCTACATCCCGGCTAGACCCCCACTGACATCTATCTAGACTTATTGATCAGGACTTCGGCCCTATCCTTGAAAAGATCCTCAAGTTTCTCCCCAGAGAACGCAGGACTTTCCTCTTCTCCGCCACCATGTCGAGCAAGGTCGAGAGCTTGCAGAGAGCCAGTCTCCGGAATCCCCTGAAAGTCAGCATCTCTACATCCAAGTACGCCACCGTATCGACCCTCGTGCAAAACTACATCTTCGTCCCGCACATGCACAAGGACTCGTACCTCATCTACCTCTGCAACGAATTCGCCGGCCAGACCATCATCATCTTCACCCGGACCATCCTCGAGACGCAGCGGATTGCCATCTTGCTGCGCACCCTCGGCATGGGCGCCATTCCCCTGCACGGTGGCCTGTCCCAGTCAAATCGTCTCGGCGCCCTCAACAAGTTCCGTGCCGGCTCGCGCGACATCCTCGTGGCGACCGACGTTGCCGCCCGTGGTCTTGATATTCCCAATGTCGACTGTGTGCTCAACTTTGACTTGCCCCAGGACTCCAAGACGTACGTCCATCGTGTTGGTCGTACGGCCCGTGCGGGCAAGTCGGGTCACGCCATCAGCTTCGTCACACAGTAGTAAGTTTATCCTTTGTTGTAATAATAAGCAACGTACTGACACCTATCCAGTGATCTTGAGATCTGGCTGCGCATCGAGACAGCCCTCAAGAACAAGCTTGACGCATATCCCACCAACGAGGAAGAGGTCATGGTGTTCAAGCCGCGTGTAGAGGAGGCACAACGCCACGCGAGGAACGAGATGAAGACGTTGATTGACGATAGAGGCAACAGGGGCTCCGTACTGAAGGGGCACAAGAAGAAGAGAGCTGCTCCCGGGTCCGGGCGGGACCACATGGACGCGGAGGAGGGTTGATAGAGTCAGTGGCGGAAGTAATCATGATTGAGCTTGTTCGTTGATATTCCGAGCTGGGCCGCCATTGAGCGGGTAGAATTCATCTCGTCCAAATTTGATGGACACTATAGGTAGCCCTTTCCAACTTTTAGGTTCCCCAAAACTGTTCTCACTCGACGTAAGGAATTAGCAGCCCTGCAGCCATGCAGTTATACTCCCGTGGCTACCTATGTCTGTCCATCTACACATACAATCCACTTATTTGCGGTCAGCCGCCCTCGGTAAGCACCCTCGTCCAGTCAAACTTTCTCCACTTTTTCTTGAACCCTTCAGTCCTCTCATCCGACCGCGTCCACCTCCCCTGGCGCTTGATGACGTCCGGCTCGCAGTCCAACATGCCCCCGATGATCTCGCGGGCGAACAGATCGCCCCGCGGCCACCGCTCCGAGTCCTCGACAATATGCGCCAGCCCGCCGTCCAGGGTGAACCAGACGTGGAAGTAGGGCATCTCCTTGGCGATGCTCCGGCGGAAGGCCAGCTTGCCCAGGCCCTCGCGTGCGCGCTTGCCCGTGTCGATGATCTTCTTGTGCTGCGACCACTCCTCATCGGCCGAGAGCATGGCCTCGCGGAAGAAGGCGGGCGCCGTGTCGCCCAGGTCGTACGGGATCGGCACCGCCACGAGCGCCGCGTGCAGCTGCCGCTGCGGGGCCGCGGCGTTCTCGTAGAAGACGACCTCGCGGCCTTGGTCGTGGTACAGCCGGGTCAGGCTCTTCATGAAGTTGCGCATCTCCTCCCACTCATCGTCGTCGCACTCGAGCAGGTTGGTGCGGTGGTTGATGGGCGCGATGACGGCACCGCCCTCGGCGCCGGTGAGCTCGGGGTTGGTGGGGAGGGTAAGGTAGACCCGGGTGGCCAGGGAGATGATGGGCGCGAGGGGCAGGTCTTGGGGCGGAGCGCGGTCCTCGTGGTGGCAGAGCGGGCAGTTGTCAAGGATGCGGTTAAGCTTCTTATACTCGGATACGGCGACGTTTTTCAGGCTCGCTTCGCCCTTGTGCACACGTTTCGCAAGCTTTTCGGCGTTCTCGTCGAGGTACTCGAGGTCGTCGTCGAACTTGGTGTCCTTGGCGATCCGCTCTGCGAGGCGCATGCCCTCGCCGCCAGCTTGGCCCCGGGTGCGCCGTTCTTCGCGAACCATGTCGTCGACAGTCATGTCCTCGTTGGCTTCTACCTTGCCACGCTCGAGACCGCGCTTGTTTGTGATGGCCTTGACCTCTCCGCGCGGGCCAGCTAGCATGCGGTTGTGAGAAGCATCCAAAACAACGGCACTGCCAGAGGCGGCGGCAGCGCTGAAAACGGCCATTGCAGCGCTGAACTCCTCCTCGAGCTTCGCGACGTCAGGGGAGTTGCGCAGCTTTGCCTTCATCAGCTGTGCGCGCATGCGATTGAGCCCGGATTGGTCAACAGGGGCAGCCCGTCGGATTGTCTCCTCAATGACCACAGCTTGTTCGGGTTGCGGGGACGGGGAGCGACGGTTCTCTTCATCGTGGCGTATTTTGGTCTCTCGTTCCTCATACAACTTGCCCGTCGGTTTATCCTTGCCGACATAACCCTGTCCGTAGACCCTCCTCCTATCCATCTCGGTCTTCTCTTCCCTCGCGTCGTCAAATTCCTCCAGACTACCAAACCGCTCGATGGCAACCTCATCAATCGGGCGGCTGGTTTGCTCCACGATTGTGTAGACTGCTTTCAGCTTCGTCATCCTCCATTGCGACCCCTCATCGCCAAATTTGTAGCTCACTTCGTGCTTCTTGGGCTCGAGATCCTCCGGCGCCTCCGTCTCCTCGACTTGGTCGAAAAGCCCCCGGTTGAGTTCTCTGTGGTGTAGAACCCGCTTCGGTTCCTCTTTCACAGGAGATGGGCTCCTCTTATTACCCCTTTGGACGTAGTCGAGCTCGATGGCCGATGGAGCTTGCATCCACGAGTCTCGAACGAGAGGTGGTGGTGCATCAATTGGCGTCTTCTCCTCGTCGGGTAGAGGAAGATCCAGCTTGGGGTCTGACTCCTTCAGGTCCTTTGATTTTCTGTCACCATGATCGCGGTCTTTTGAGCAGTCCCTCGACCGTTGTCTGTGCCTGTGCCTGTGCCGCCTCGACTCGTCCTTGTCGCCCCTGCCGTCGTTCTCTCTGGAATGCCGAGATCGCTTGTGTCGGTGGCCCTCATCGTCGGAATCTTGATCCCGAGACCGGTGGTGTCTGTGCCGCTCGCTATCTCTGTCGCGCTCGCTGCGCCGGTCCTTCTCGTTGTCCCGGTCGCGGTCGCGGCGCCTGTCTGAGGACCTGTCGCGATGGTGGTGCTTGTGTTTTCGCGCCCGCCGTTCCTCTTTTTCCTGTACAGCGCGCTCCCGCTCGGCCTTTTCGGCTGCAAGGGCTTTTTCAAAATCGTCGAGGCCATCCATCTTGGATGTGTGGGGAGGCCGATGTGCAAGTTCACAGCTGTGGATGAAATGCGTGCCAAAAGTCAAGTGGTGTGACGTATTTGTGATTATGTAATCATAGGTATGCTATACCTGGCCCAAGCTCCCGTCCCCATTTGACACACGACCATCATCTTTAATTCGGAGTGGTCGCTACAAAAGTCCCTAATAATGATAGCAAAAATTGAGACAACGGGAAAATCCTGGAAGATGGTACTAGCCACCGTCAGTTGACTCTCAACGAGATGGACCGCCCTTGGCAGAGTTTCTTCATATATGGACGATTGACAGGCGATGGCACCCTGCAGCTCTGTTGCTCAACCACAACCATGATAAACCCGGCACCATCCTCGACGTACCCTGTTTCAATGTTCCAAACCTCGTATTGCCTCCTTCGTAGTAGTAAACAGCACTGATGGCAGCTGCAGGGATTGAGCTAGGTGGTGGTCTGTCGGTTTGACAATTGCCCGCGATCAGTAGCAGCTAGCCTTGACCTCAATCTAACGGCGTGTCTTGTGGTCTGGCCTTTTAGTCCCTGAAACAACGCCACCGGCCACCCAAGATGTTTGGTGTGGGACGAACCAAACCAAGAATACAACCATTCGAAGCAAGTACTTATTGTATTTTGCTATTGATCAGCAGCGCCCCAACCGCAGGACCCATGCCTAAATGTTTTAGCCGATGTAGGTGGATACGACTGTGTCCAAATGCCGCACGTCTCATAGGGCCCAAAAATCAGTCCGTCCACAACATCAAACACACAAGGTCCTATAGTGTAGTTGGTTATCACATGGGATTCTGAGCATCTACTCAAGCTTCCCGTGACCCAGGTTCGAATCCTGGTAGGACCTCTCCTAGTCTCTTTTTGCCGCTTGGCTGGCATCTCATGGGATTTTGCGCATTCTTTTGCATCGCTGTTGCGATGGAAGACGACTTGAACATGGGACCGGAGGTCGGATGCTTTGTCGATTGAGTCCCAAAACTCCGTCGGGCTAACACGGCCACTGGACCCGACTGCTGACCGGATGATGAATTGTCAGGGTGGGCTTCTCCGTCTCTTCCAGAACAAAGTTTTGTCACGGTGGCTGAGCAAGCGGGTGTGAGTGCATCCGCCGCTGGATGCCGTTCACACATACCTTGGCGTCTTCACACCAACTACCGCCGAGCACGCCGAATGATTTGCTGGCAAATCTAGGTTTCGGATAGAGATGGAGCGATGGGAATTACGTGTGTTTGTTAACTCCCGTCCAGATCGCTGACAGGTCTGGGTCGAGCCCAGGCAGCCATTCAACACTGCAGTCAGCGAAGAGTTGTCAGCGAGGTACTTTCAAAGTTCGACAGCGTCGCCAATTCCCGCAAAACCACAACTTGAACTTCGGATTGCGAACCTGGCCGTTGGGGATTTGGAATATTTTCGTCTGTACCCCACTGTTGCATCTAAAGGCGGGTCGGCAAGCCAGCAAGCCAAAGAAGCCATGGGGTATGACAACGCTGCAGCAGCGGCTTCAACTCCGGTTGTGCATCCTACAGGTCGTCTCACCTTGACCGGGACAGGGACGTACTACCCCTACCTATCTATCCTGGCGCGAGAACGCAGCTGGCGACCGTGACCTCATAGTGGTCCAAATATGGCTTTGCCGCAGCTCAGCGATCCGGTAGGGCGATGCGCAGCGTGGACAGCCCGAAACTGCATCATGTTGAACAATTACCAGGCGAGAAGACACTGCGCCGCCGCTGCAAAGGAATTGGACGACGGCAAGCGACATGCGGGGAGCTATTTGCCATGTCCAGTCGACCCAGCGCATTCCTCCCCATGTTTCTGATAGACTGGGTGTCCATTCCATTTCGATCCCACGGCGACGGGCGATATGTTTCAGATGTCTTTGAACTGCCCTTCCTTTCACCACCATCTTTTTTTAGTCCTCCGTCCCCATATTTTTTCTAGACTTCACTGCGCCGTCTCTTTATGTGCAATACCGCTCGTCAAAATTTTGTTTGACGCCGCCATCGCGCGCGTCAAGCACACCCGCAACCGGACGCCACAGCGGCCGGGCTTTGGATTGTCTCAGGCTGCTATTGATAGAAACCGGGGCGCCGTGACGCGGCGACAGTGGCTTCCCTCTCCCATCCATTCAGGGGCACCCGTTCCCCTCCGCCGTAAGCACTCTAATGATGGGGGATCTGGCGCTCCTGGGCCACATCGACGCATAGGCAGTTCCGTTTTGGGGTAAACAGCACGGCGAGCCATGCGCGATGAACGCAAAAGTGTGGGCGGAACCGGGTCGCATACCTGTTGTTGATGGCACGAATCGGGTCACGGAATGCGGATGGGAGCTGGAAATTGGGAAACTACTTTGTACGGAAACCGAGGACATTCAGACACCGAATAATACGATAACTTTGAATTGTCAAGATAGCAAGAAAAAGGGTATGAGATTTTGAATCAAGAAACACCGTTCATTAGCCCTTCCTCAGAATACACCAAACGCCTTCCCTTGCTCAGGATTGTGTGCTAGTACCCCGTCGACCATCTAGAATACGTCGTGACACCATCAACACTAGGGTATAAACCAACCACCTCGCACTACTCCTGCACCTCAATAGTTGAATCTTTGCGTCATTTGCTGCCCCCTTCCGTACTGGTACTGGCCCTGCTGTGACTGATGCTGTTGCTGCTGTGGCTGTTGCTGTTGTCCTTGCTGTGACGGGAGTTTTGCGTAATCGGCCGGGTTGTATGGCGGATAATGCGAGGGGTGCGGAATGCGGGGGTCTAGCTTCCTCAGCGCCTCCTCGCGATGCTCCTCGCTTGTCTCCTTGTGCGGCGAGAGCTGAGAAGAAAAGCCCTTGCTGTCCAGTCCTGGCGAGCCCATCCCGCCGGCAGTCCCGTTGGAAGAAGTTGACACGGGGCGTGAGTTGGCTCCTGACCAGTGGCCCGATTGCGACGGGTCTGGGCTGGCCTGCGAGTACTGCGACGGGTGAGATGCGCTTGAGAAAGCCGAGTCCCGGTTTGTGAGCGAATCTCGAGTCGTGGGCGAATCGCGGTATGTCTGTTGCGGTGCTGGCCGGGGCGGTTGAATGTTGTTGCCGTTGGAATAGTAAAAGTCTCCAGGCATCTCAACGGCGAATGAGGCACCTCCCGATGGCTTCACCTCGGCCGCGGGCATCTCTACCGGACCACCAGGCGCGCCATATCCGAAGGCGGCGGGCTGGTGGTTGTGGCCGCTGGGTGGTTGTGACCCGGCTGTGCTCGGCCTGTATTGCAGTTGTGATTGGGGTGGCTGCACAGACTGTGGGCGGGGGATTTGGTAAGGGAGGCGGGGCGATTGGCTCGACGGCGGCGGCGTGTTAGACTGCGATTGTGGTGAATAGCGGAGATTCAGGGGTGACGGTAGGGGTGATCTAATGGTGTTTCGGCGGTCGGCGGGGTTGACTGTCTTGAGCTTCCCGTCCTCGATCATGGCTTGAAGCACTCCAGCATCCAAGAGCTCTGCCTTCTTGATAATGCGCTGCACCATCTCCCCACCGGCCTTCTTGAGCTGCGACTTGACAAAACCGATCACGGTCATGTTGCACTTGATCTCAATGTCTTCCCTCAAGTACAGTCCGTCCGAGGGTGCGCCGAGGGCCTTGAGGCCAATCTCAGGAACCTCCGGGGGCTCAAAGCCGGGCTGGTTTCCTGCGATGCGGTATGTGTTGCGGAGGTCAACATTCATGGGCGCATAGATGTGAGTCTGCAGCCCCCACGGCATGTCGTGGAAGCAGCCGTTGAACTTGATGATGGAGGCACCCATCTTCCCGATCCCGGGCATAAAGGTAATCCGCTCCGTGATCTCATACCAGGTCGAGTAGTACTCATCTGTCTCGGCATTTTGCGGGGCGGCGATGGGCTTGTGCTCGAGGACGAGCGGGTTGAGTGTGATGACCTCGGAGTGCGAGTGGAGGATGTCGATGGCCAGCTGCCGGGGAATGAAACCCGGAATGGGCGTGATGATTGTGAAGGCGTCTTTCTTCCGCAACATGGCGGGCGGTTTTCTCTCGTAATACCGTAGACTCGTGGGATTGGCACTTGTAATGAGACAGAGGGCGAGTCACCAGCAAAATGCGAAGAGAGGCAAAGTTATTCGAGGCGACGACGAGGAACAAAGCAAGCAAAGGCCTGTTATTAAGCCAAGGTCACTTGCTGAGAGTTGGTGAGTGCAAGAAAGGGAGAGAAAGGAAGCAAGGGACTGGCCAAGGGCTCGTCGGGGGGAGTTTTGGGGGTAAATGAAAGCAGGGCTGGGCTGCACCAGCTCTTGTGCGCTTGGTGCTTGGTGTGTGTGGGAGTTCGCGCTGGGCTTGTCTCTGTGTGTCTGGGCATACCTAGTGTACTGCGAGGGCACCTCGAGTTGGGCGTGGCTGAAGCGACACCCTCTCCAGAAAAGGCCGCGCAGCGGCCGGGGTGCCATTGGGCCCGGCGACCTGTTCCCCCGCCAAGATCTCGGCGTCCCGTCGTCCCGTCCTGCTGATGACGTGAGACAGCGGTCTTTGGAAGAGAGAACAGCTCCAAGAGAGGTCGCCCTGCAGTCGCCACCTCGCATCCGCAGAGGGAGGTGACGTGCCATGCCAGTATGGTACGGATCCGCAACAATTACATATATCTCGTCCCGCCCTTCCAGCGACTTCGATTTTGCGTTGACAGCAGGCCTGGATGCCAGGGGGGTTGGGCAGATGCAGTGAGGAGACAGTTGGTGATGAGAATACGCCCCTGGCTTGGTGGAAATGCCGGGGTCGGCCGCCACGCCCTTGGCTTTGGGGCCTTTCTGCCAGTCTGGCCTATGTCAGGCTTGGTCCAAGGTGTTCTTTGTGGAGGATCCTGCAGCTGGCCAAAGGTCGGCCCCGCGGCCAGTCGCCAGTGGTCAAAGTAAAAAGGCGGCTACCGCCACGGCGCATGCACCGATGGGCTCGCTTTTACCAGCACTTGGCATTCCATACGATGCAATATGGCGCGCTGCTATGTATCGGGTGGCAGCGACTTCGACATCCAGCCCTGCCAGGCAAAACGAACTTGAATTGGAGGGGGAGAGGGGGAGAGGGGCAAACAAGCCAAGCGTCAGGGAAACCCTGGAACGCTTGCTCCACCTCAAAAGGCTGGGAACCTGGAACATTTTTGCCCCGCACCACAGGGATGGATGAGTGGGGCCAACCCATGCGAGAAAGCACAACCCCGCCATCCTCCTCGTCGATTTTCCCATGACACCAATCCCGAATAGTGTTTTTTCCTATCCAACGCCCTACCTCGAGGCTGTACCAGACCTTCTCCAAAGTATCGCACGGCTCATCTAAAATGGCTTCTACCTCGGCGCCGTTGCCAGGCCAGTCCGGCCACCCGTCTCAGCCAGTCGCCGTTGTCTGTGTTGGCATGGCAGGTTCGTCGATCATTATTTCAGCCTCTTGTGTCAAGTTTAGGAGGAGTTGCTAATCGTCCAAACCGCAGGGTCCGGCAAGACAACGTTCATGCAGCAGATCAATGCTCACCTCCATCGAAAGAAGGATCCGCCCTATGTCATCAACCTCGACCCGGCCGTCCTGCATGCGCCGTTCGAGAGCAACATTGACATCCGCGACTCGGTCAACTATAAGGAGGTTATGAAGCAGTACAACCTGGGCCCCAACGGAGGAATCCTGACGTCCCTAAACTTGTTCGCAACCAAGATCGACCAAGTCCTGGGTCTCCTCGAGAAGAGGACGACCCCGGATCCGGAGAACCCGGCGCGGAAGCCCATCAACCACATCCTGGTCGATACCCCAGGCCAAATCGAGGTGTTTGTTTGGTCTGCTTCCGGTACGATCCTCCTCGAGTCGCTCGCATCTT